TCTTATCTAATTTGAACGGCACTGTGGTAGTATTTTGTGCTCACAAGGCCAATTTATCAAATTTGGACGGCACTTTGGTAGTATTTTGTGCTCATATTTCAAAATCAGCGATAAATTGATCACTTTGCGAGAAAGAGACGTAGTGAGATAGGGTCGAAGATGCGAGGGTCGACAGTAGGGCCGAGGCATAGTAGAGAAGGTAGTGGATGATGTGAATGTGTAGCAGGGTTGCTAGATCATGGGGGCGTTAAATAGTGTGAGTTTATGGGTGAAAAAATGAAAAGATCATGGTCGTGTGGTTTTTGTACACGTTGCATGTGACCGCGTTGGTGCAAATGTTGCAGTGATTGGCCTGCGTGCTCGTGAATTGTCTGAGCTCTATTTCTAGAGTGTCATTCGGCGTTTGACGAGTTTCCTGCGAGTCTTTTTCATAGCCGACACACCCATATTCTTTCTCATCGAAGTAAAAAACGCAATGAAGCGCATAAAAACCGGCTAACGTAACGGAGCGTTTGTGTCGCAAACGCTTGGAAGTAGACACAAAGTTTGTGTCTACTTCAGTAAGGTTCTACCGGTATGTATGTAATTCTCCTATGTAGTTTCTGATAGAGGGCTGTAAGCAGGGTGGTCGGAAGGCTTTGCGTAGAGTGTTTTTGTGCATGTAAACCACTTTGCATGCAAATCACTTGATCATTGGCCCGCGCGATGACATGGTCCAGTTGATATTTTACGAGACGCGCCGCTTTGGCCGCTTCATCTATTAAACCAGCTAAAGATGAGACGGTTTCGCGGTCGTCGACGACGATCAATAAGCCAACCAATCAAATGTGTCTGCGTTGAAATCAAGTTGACAGCATTGACTCGCATCGTCAGTGTATTTGTACGTCGCTGTCACGTAGCGTGCCGACCTGACAGCGCACGCGTTTTCGTACTATTGTGAGCGCTTGTGTCATTGTGGCTGGCTCACAGAAAAGGCTCTACATGGCGCTGAGAGAGAGCAGTGACACAAGACAACTCGTGTGTCGCGTGTCGAGCTTCCAATGCACTTGGTCCTTCGAGAGCGGGCGGCGGATGCGAGGTTGGCACCGCCACGTAAGCTAACCGGACACGCGCCACACGTGTAGGCACTCATCCTCAACGTTATCAATCAAACGTGTTCGCGTTAAATTCAAATTAGCAAAAACTAACCCAAAGACTTCGCATACGTAGCGCTACGCCTGAGGGCGTCGGAGTTGGCACCAGCACTTGGTCGTTGGGAGTGAGCTGCGCACGGAGAGATCCATCCCGTGGTGGACCCCACTCGCCGAGTTATATAGCTCGCGCGAGGTCGTATCCTCAACGTTAGATGTAGCATTCGACGTGCAGCCATGGCGGCGATGTGCGGGAGGGCGACGCAACGCTATTGCCCCATTCGGATCGGAGCTTGTGCGTACGAAGAAGGTCCTCGATAAGGTTGCATTACCCGAGGAGTCTCACATGGCCGAAATATAGTGTGACATTGTGACATTCACCAAGCGCTGTCAGTAGCACGGGCGCCGACGCGAGGGTGAGGGCGCTGTTCCGCAATAAGATCCTCAGCGCTCGTCGGCTCTTGCGGGATGCGACGGCCAATAAGATCGCATCCTCGTCATCCAGCTTTGTCTCATCGAGCGTGAGCACCTTGAGACTACGATCCATGCACGCAAGCACCAAGACCCCTTCCTTGCCGAGCGTAGTTCGCGTCAAGTTGACGAACGTAGGATGACGCGACGTAGAGAGCTACTGCACGAGGCTGGCGACGAACTCCATGTCATCCGTCAACCGACGCAACGTGGCGGTCGAGAGGTAGTGCTCGTGGGTAGAACCCAGTGTTCGAGGCTGAGATTTGAGCAACGGAAACGCGGCGGGAGCGCTCATGACGTCACATAACAGCAGCTCGCGTGCGTGGGTGTTTTCGAGTGCGAAAGAGCGGAGCAGGGTCCGATCGAGCTCTACGAAAATGGCGATGGCGTGCTCGCTGGAATCGCGGCGCAACGAGAGCGCTGTGATGTGTCTCAAACACTTGGCACCGCCGCCAAGGCTGCTCGAACGTCCCTTGCACAAACGAGACTCAACGACGAGAACGTAGGACATGCCTGGACGGCAATGACCAGTGCCGTTGGGTCATGCACCGAGTCGCAGTCAAACGTGAGAGACGACGCGCTTGGTCCTTGGAGCGAATCGACGATGGCGGTTGAGTCCAGCGATCTGTCAACGTCTTCCGACGTACGCACCTTGAGCGTGTGCAAGCGAAGGGTTGGTATCGCTGCCAAGTGGCGCTCAACGTCAGAGCGATGCACCGAGGTGGTTTCAATCACCACATGTTGGACGTTGGCACATCAAGCGAGGATGTCGGGGATTGGGTCTGGCACCAGAATGGCGCCCTTGGCAATGACGTTGTCGATGTTGTCGCTCCAGAGATAGGCAAACGCACCGAGCAGACCGGGCACGGAGGGGTCCACGACGAGAGTTGCGGGTATTTTGGGCGGCAACTTCGCATCGAGCCAGGGCCGTCAAACCAGAATCCGCGTAAACGCTTTTGAACGCCGGCAGTGCTTGGGCGCCAATGCGAGGTCACCGGCTCGGAATCTCCGCCACAACCCACACCGGCTGTAGGCGCTGAAGGCTGTGACGGCGCCGAGGTCTTGGAGCGCGACGAGTTCGGGCGGCAGCGTCAACAGTGGCAGCGCCTTCAGGAAGGCGGTGACGCCTCTGCAATTTGGAATCGCCTGCAGAATCGCGTGGAGTACGACGCTTGGCAGGTTCGGGAAGTTGGCTCGTTTTGTCTCTGGCATCATCGCAAACTGGCGCCTCTGCGATCCAATTTTGCTGTGACATAGCTTTACAATTAACCCTCCCAGACCTAAAGGCGTTAAATAATCGACATGGATATTGTGTATCCGATTGTACAATATTGTTTTGTGTCGAGAAATTTCGGAACAGCGTCCATCAACACACCAGACAATAATGTGGCACAATTTTGGTTGACAATATATTGTCTTTGCATACGCGGGCAGCTCAGGTTGGTCAATTCCATAGTACGTGCGGAGTGGTTTCCCACCAACGTTAGCCTTGTGAGGTGGAGTGGCCTAACAGGGTTCTGGAATCTGTCTCATCTTGCATTGCATCGGGATATAGCTCCAGGAATATAGCTACCGCGATCCGAGCAAAGTCCACACAGCAAGGAGGTCTGTAGAGGTAACGCGCTCATGCTCAGGGAGGTTCTGGTAGGACGTGTGGCAACAGGTACAACTGCGACCGTGTTCAATTCGCTCATATTGCAAACGCTGGGTCCGAGGACTGTCGCGCTTAGTGATAGAAGTCGAACGTTGTATCGGCCCGCTTGATCGCGTTCTTGTAGCCCTTGTCAAAGTCCTTGGGCAAAATAACATACCGGTTCTTGCGCACGGCTTGGAGACCCGCCTCTTGGCAGATGGACGCAATGTCGGCCGAACTGATCTTCTCGGGGCGGTTGACGTAATCCTATACCCATCCATCGCGTGAGAGACCGTTGACCACATCAAAGCGGTACCTCGAGGTCGACTTCGTCGCCCAAGTTCATGTTGGCCGTGCATGCTTGGTAGATGAGACGCTTCTGGCGGCGGTCCGGCAGCGGAAACTCAATTTTGCGGTCAAGACGACCCGGGCGAAGGAGAGCCGGGTCGAGTGTATCGGCGCGGTTCGTCGCCATGATCACCTTGACGTTCGTGGCTTGGTCAAACCCGTCCATTTGGTTGAGGAGCTCGAGCAAAATACGCTGCACCTCGCGATCCGCGCCCGTCTGCGCGTCAAAGCGCTTGGTCGCAATCGCGTCGACTTCATCGATAAAGACAATCGCGGGCGAGTTCTCCTTGGCGAGGCGGAACACGTCGCGCACCATGCGCGGGCCCTCGCCGAGGTACTTTTGCACAAACTCCGAGCCGACGACGCGGATGAACGACGCCGTCGTCGCGTTTGCGACGGCTTTGGCAAGCATCGTCTTGCCCGTGCCCGGCGGGCCGTACATGAGCACGCCACGCGGCGGGTCGACACCAATCTGCTTGTACAAGTCGAAATGCGTGAGCGGGAGCTCGACGGCTTCGCGCACTTCTTGCTTCTGGACGTCCATGCCACCAATGTCCGAGTACGAGACGTCCGGGCGCTCCGACATCTACATGGCAGTGCAGAATCCATATTGGCAAGGTGTCACGAGCATACCTGCATCATCTGAATACTCGAGTCCGACTCGGGCGGCAAGATGGCCACGACGGCGTGCGAGTGGCGGTGCAGCGCGACCGACGAGTTGGGCTTCAAGCGCTCGCGGTCGAGCGTGCTCAAGATGCGCACGTAGTAGTTGGAACCGGCGGTCGAGCCCACGATGCCATAGTTGGCGTCGACCATCTCGAGGAACTGGCCGATGACGAGCGGCACGGACTGGATGCGCTTGACCTCTTCCTTGGCGCGGATGAGCTCGCGCTTCAAGTTCTTCATCTCGTCCTTGATGTAGCCTTCCTGGATGTCGAGGAACTCGAGGTGGCGCTGGAGCGCCTTGTACTTGGAGAACATGTCATCCTCCTGCTTCTACATACGCAGCATGAGCCCTCGTCCTCTTCTCCATGTACCTACGTCCGAGAGCGGCAGCATCGCCACGTCCTCCATGTCGGTCGTCTTGAGCCCGATGTCTTCCATGCTTCCTCGTCGCTCGAATCGGGTTGTCTACCTCCGAAACCCAATACCGCTACACAAGCCCCACATATCTTTCCTCCGGATAAATCTTATCCGGACAATCCATGGCTAAAAACACGCAACCTGGCCAAAACACCAGCACTGACATCGTACCTTGTTCTCCAGCGCTTCAACCCACTGACTATACAAGCATGCACGCGTGCATCTATAGCATCCAACGGAACCTCGTGGTTGGCTCCTTTCAATGGTGGCAGCCCATCCCGCACGAGCTCGTTGCGCCGAAAATGACACGGTCACGAGCAATGACGTGGCGCCACAGCAACGCTTAAACGCATCAGCACATTGCAGATTGCCCAATAAGGACATTCCCGTACAATGACAGAGACATTAACGATAGACGCATGAAGAAGATAAAACCAGGAACGACATAGATTACGATAGGGAGAGTGTCGCCTAAAACACGTTTGTCCAAAGCTTGTTGAGGAGGTGCATGCACGCCGGGTTGTTGGTGACCCACACGATAAACTACACATGGAGTCCTAAACCGGGTTCGTCACAAGTAATTCACGTACTTTGGCGCGCTGCGTCGGCGTCAGAATGTTCTGGAGCTGGTCCATCTCCGTGTCGAGCGTAATGTTCTTTTGCTCGACGTCGGCCTTGAGCTGGTGCAAGAGCTGCAAAGCGAGCCGGAGGTTTTCGCAAATCTTGACCACCGCACTCCTAGTCGTTCGCATGAGACTCACGAGCATGCACTATATCTCTACCGGTGGGACTGGATGCTCTTGCGCTGCTCCTCGGTGAGCCCGAGGTCGTGCGTGAGGATCGAGAGCAGGCTCGTTTCGTCTTCGCCGTCCTCCCAGAACGCATCGTCCTGCTTGAGCGCCCAAATGCACATCTTGGTCACTTGCGTCGGCATCAAAAGCCGCTCGAGTTGGTGCAAGTGGTAGTTGAGCGCCGACTGCCGACCTTGGCCATAGTCCGAGTATTGCTAAATGGTTGGCTTAGAGACTTGTTTCGTCAAGAGAGATGCAATGTACCTCTTTGAAGTTGTCGATCTTGGCCGCGATTTCAGGCTCGGGCGCATTTTCGTGGATCTAAGCGATGCGTTCCTTGAAACGACGTGTCTGACGAGTCGACGTACCATGGACTCGAGCTCGATGCAGATTTGCGTCTTCTCGTCTTCTTCTTGCTTCATGGCCTCCTTCCCGGCCTTGAGCTGCGACCGGAGCTCCATGTTTTCCTTCTCGAGCGCCTTGCAGCGCTCTTCGACGCCGAGAATGTGGTCGCGCTTCCGGCGCCGACACTCGCGCGCTGACTCGCGGTTGCGCTCGAGCCGCTTCTTGCGCTGCGGGTTGAGGTCGGAGCTGCCGTCCTTGTTCAAAAAGTGCGTGAGCGGCGGCTGGTCGTCGTCGTCGGCCTTGCGCTTCTTCGAGTAGTCGCTGGCCTTGGGCGTCGAGCTCGCGCTGCTGCCGCCGCTGTGCTTGACGCCGTCCTTGGGCGACGTGGCCGCCGGGTGCACCATGTTGAAGAGGTTGAGCGGGTTCGCAGGCGGGAACGACGCCTGCGGCGCGGCGCCAGTCTGGGGCATGTTACCGAAGCCGGCGAGAAAGCCGGGGTACGCCGACATGAGCGGCATCATCTGGTTGAGCTGTTGAAGTTGCATGACGTTGCTCGCGGCAGAGCCATGCATGGGCATCGACATCATGGGTGGCATCGTTGGAAGGCCCGTCGCCGGCGCCGCCGCCTTGGCCTTCTGGCTCTCCTGGACGAGCCACTGGTACATCTCGGGGCGGATGTTGCTTGGAGGTACCGCCGTCGACGCGGCGGTGCGCGGAGGAGCGATCGTCGTCGCGCCGCCCGTCTTGGTCTTCTTCATATTAGTTGCTTTCTCCATCGTCGCGAAGCGGGCCGAAATGAATGATGGCTCGGCGACGTAATCGGCGCGTCCGAGCTGCGTCATCGGTTTTAAACGCCTCACATACAAACATCAAGACAAAACGAAGTGTTTTAAACGACATGCACTGGCCACTCGCAGCCACATCCGGATGCTCGGCCAATCAGAACACGGTGCTTCCTACCATCGTCGTCTCGTTTCCAGATAGTTTCTCCATACTGTCTCACGTTCCGACGTTCCGCGGTAGCGCTGGCCCTCCTAGCTACGGATACAGATTCTTTCAGGACAAAAAAAGGGTGTCTTCACCCTCCTATATCCTATATAATCAAAGGACGAGCTTTCAAGGGGTTATCTCGCACTGCAGCACGCTGGACGCCACAGCGTGCCTGGTCGACGATTGCACGACAGAGACAGTATTGAAAAGAAGCGGACGGTTGCGACGCCCCTGTCGCGGTGGCAGAATATCGCACCCAAGCAGCTGGCGGATTTCCGCCAATCGGATGGCGCCAAGTACGGCACGGGGAAATGATTGGCAGAGAAGGGATGCGCCGCTACATTGCAATCTTCGCAATCGAATTCGCGGGTCAGAGACCACCGTCGCAGGGATGGTAGCCGTAGCTGCATGGAGCCTGCGTCGACCATCATGCGGGCGGTGACGACAACACACACAAGTACATGCATGGACAGACGGCAGTACCACTACTGCGAGGTGCGTCTGGGCGGCGCGCATTTTCGTGCGGCGGCGAATCTTTCGCATGGCGCCAGCCACCGATCCCCAAGCTACTCCAACTCTTGCCCTTAGCGTATGCTGGTCCATTTCGGCGAGATATGCTACTCAGTATCGCCGATAGCTATAGCCGATTGCATCTCTCGCACGACCAACGTCCAACGACGACGCCTGTCGTTACCGTGCCCGCCCGTGGGACGGCACCAGCTTCTCTTGTTCGTTGGACCACTCTCGGTTGCCGTCTTGGGCAACCACTCATGATGCGCTAACAGTCCACCTGGGTGCAGCAGTGAAATCTTCCGTCGAGCAGCTTGACGTGAACCGGTGATGGACAGTTCTCGTACAGGTCGACACTGCTGTACGAGGCGAAGGGTTAGCGAGGGCAGCGCATGACCAGTCGGGCAAGAAGCAAGCCATAGGCTGCAAGCCTCGAAATCCTCGCTTTTACGAGACTGCGACGAGAGGCGGGTCCGCAGCATCCTTCGGCCAGAGTAGCTACCATGCGGTGGAAACGACGCCCGAGCTGACGCTGCATCTTGCCTTGCGTCCTACCAAGGCCATAAGTCCTACTAGTACTCACTAGCAACCCATATTTGGCGCCGTCACAAGTCGATTTACAAAATGACACTGTCGACAATCGTCGTATTAACCAAGGGGTACATGCGCCACCAAAATCTACTACGAGGTCCCGCCCGAGTGCAAGAGCGACGCAAAGAGCTGCTTGCGCTTGGCGCGCATTTGGCTGCTCCACTCGTCGCCGACAAGGATGCGGCACTGGAGCTCTTCTTCCGAGATCGCCTCGGCCATGTTGATGAGGCTCGAGAGCACGGTGCGGATGTAATTGGGCGTGTCCTTGTCCGGCCGCGCCATCTTGAACTGCCAGTAGCCCACATCCGCGTTGAACGCAAACTCGAGCACCGCTTGGTGGTTTGGGGCGTTCTGGAGCGTTGCATGAATCTTTTTGAGGTCGCGCGGGTCGACGACCACAATCTGGTCGAGGTCGATCGCCTTCCCAGGCCCCGAGCAGTTGAGTTTGAGTTGGCCGTTCTCAATCCACGCAAAAAAGTCGACCGTGATCAAGTCACTCCACTTCCACTTGAAGTAGTCTACATTCGAAAAATCAACCAAAAATCCATCAAAATTCATCAAAATTCAAAAATCCCAATTCCAAAAATCAACCAAAAAATAGAAACATATAAATGGCAAACATGACATACCGTGGTGGGAAAAGGGCACGTACGGCGCGGTCCCGGGGCAAAAGACGACACCGTCCGTCTTGTGATGGCGCTTACCGTCGTTGTAGAAGCGGACGACCTCGCCCGTCCCATTGTCCGTGTGCGCGCTGATCCTAAGTTCCGTCGCCGGAAACTATGAGACATGTGCATCCTCCACGACCACGTACGCTTTGAACACTTCGCGGATGTGGCGCACCGACTGCCAGCGCTTCCGGAAGAGCGGGAGAACGTTCCCGAGCGGCATGGCGCGCATACCGCGCTCGTAGCTTCCGCTACACACACAGCAGCACTCATGAGCCTCCTGTCATGCATCGCATCGATCGATGTACGTCTCTGAGAGCAGGGTCTGGATGGCAAGGATGCGTTCTTTGAACGGCTTGCGCACGTGGCTCAGGCTCGGGAGCGAGCCCTCGGCGATGATGTCAAACACCATAAAGACGTAGCGCTTGAGCGTGTAGTTGAAGACATACTCGCCGTCAAGCACCGTGCCTTCCGGTAGGAGCGACACGAGCGACTCGAGGCCTGCAAGACTCGTGAGAAGACGGAAGCACGCACGAAACTGTAAACGCACCGGGGGCGACGAACGCAAAGCTGGAGCGATCGACGAGCACGACAACACCAGGCCCCACAACGAGGAAGTACCGGACGCCGTCCGTCTTTTCCGAGACAAAGTACTCGCGGTCGCGGGCGCGGACGACCGGTAGATTGCAGCGGGCAAACCCGACCGGCATGGTGCCGGGAAACTTGTTGGCGTGCTCAAAGTGCGAGAGGTAGGCGTTGCGGACCGCGTGCTCGGGGTCCATGAGGTCCCAGTTGACCTTGTACGCTTGGCTCGCGTGGGGCATAAAGTGGCTACGCAATGTCAGAATGCTGCGACCATTGGGTGAGAGATGCTGGGTACCGGGTGAGCGTGTTCCAGAGCAAGCCCGCGTTCATGTTGGCGCCGACCCACGTCTGTTCATGGGCCATGTTGAGCCACTCCTTGACCGCATTGGGCTTGAGCTCCAGCTCGACTTCGTACGTGGGCTCGCCGCTATCGCCCGACACTTCGGTCAAGTCGATGCGCACGTGCTGGCCGATCGCCGACTTGCGTTGCCGGTTCCGCTCGCTCTCGGGCGCCGACCCGACGACGCTCGACGGGTCCGAGGGCGGAAACTCGAGCGAGATCGAGACGCGGCAGTCGTACTGGCAGTGCGGCAAGAAGATGTCGATGCTACCGAGGCGCTCCTTGACCTGGAGGTACTTGGGCTGCGATGGCCTTCCACTCGGGTCCATCTCTTGAACGACGCGCTTCGAGCCCGGGTACATTTCGACGCGCGAGTGCTCTTCGTGCTTGGCGTACGAGTCCTGACTCGATATCTGCTGGAGCTTCTTCATGAAGCGATCGTAGTCGGCAGCCTTGACGCCGGGCACGAACTTGGCGCTGTTCGAGCGCATGTCCTCGTCACGGAGCACAACGCACGCGTTGCCGTACACCGATGGTTCAAAGCGCTTGGTCGTCGCCGATGATGAGATCCGCCCAAAGCGCAGCTCGACCTCGACCTCGGCGCCAACGCCCCGCGCGTCAATCGTCTCGCGCATCGAGAGTAGAAAGTTCGTGATCGCCGCGTCCGGCGACTCGGAATCGTGCGTCGGCAGCTTGGGCCCGCGCCCGCCGCCCGCCGCCGAGTTGCCGTCGCCGTGCATCATGGCCAGGTTAGCCTCGGTCTTGCGAGCATCCGCCAAGCTCTTACTCTTCTTGTCGAGGTTCTGGACCATGTTGTTGAGGTCGAACGGACGCTTTCGGCTGCCCATGATGCTCGCCCGCCGAAAGTATTCCAAAATGGGCGAGCGGTGGTGGCGTCGCAGCAGAGCTTTCATTGGCCGAAATGTTACATTTTTAAACCAATCCACGTCGTTCCAAAGATACGCTTGTGGTTGACGCCACGTCGAATCCGAATAAGCTGGGAACGAATAGCGCTTCGGTCGCCCACTACACCTGGGATCCACTGCCGTAGCGCTCGTCTATACACATACATCCAAGCTACGGGCTGCCTAGTATATCTAGTAATCACAGCCCAATTGTGGTCCTAGTGGGACGGCAATTCGGCCATGCACCAACGGCCAGATCGTTGGTACAGCCGCGGAGTCGCCTACAGCTGCTCGTCTCCGTCGTGTTGGCAGCACCAACTTGAAAGAGTCGACCCATGCGTCCTTACAGCGCCAGTGGGCTGCTACGCTGGCAGCATGGGTTGAAGTTTTGTCATGTCAACAAAGCGAGTGCATTGATTGACCAGTGGTGTTTTTGCAGCAGCGCTGATTAAGCAAGGCTGCATCTTTGCTTCGTGAGCAGCTTCGATCGCCTCAGCATTTGATATGCTCATGAAGGGTCATGATGTTGCCGTGAAGTTCATTTGCACCAAAAAATGGCGCGGGAAGGACGAGGAAGTCGACGTCGCCAGTTCTTATTTATGTGTCCCATGGAATTTAGCACGTTTTTCACGTCCACGGCCAGAATTGGTGCTTTTTAACTACAAATTGAGAGTTGATTGTGTGAAAATGACATGTGAGAAAAGTGAGAAATAAGAGCAATCCGAATACGAAGCGCGATTGGTTGCGTTTTTATGTCGTATCCGGATGGCCGAGCTACAGCTTGTCCAACAATTCGATTCTTGGAGCGATGCTGGCCCGACAGCGCGTCGCGGCCGCGACTTGGCGCCGGACCTTTGGCCATAACCGGCCATCGGCGCTCTCGTCCATTGCGCCTGTACACACGAACTCTGCGCCATCAGACGACGTCGAGAAGGCTGTCGCTCAGGCGACTGCGTCGCTGCTGGCACGCATCGCCGCCATGGAGGCCGAGAACGTTGCACTCAAGCAGCAGCTTCAAAAGGCCATGACGACTGGCGCAATACCACCCCATGTAGTAGACAAGGCGTTTGCTGCGCCTTCCATCACAGAGCCCAAGAAGACGCCTGCCACGACCGAGCTCAAGTCTACACTGTCGCTCAAGTCGCCTACCATCATAGAGCCCAAGAAGATGCCTGTCACGTCTGCGACTAAGAAGACGCCTGCCACGACCGAGCTCCAGATGACGCCAGCGCCCAAGAAGCCGGTCGCGACCACAGCGCCCGTCGCTGCCAAGCGTGGTGAAGAGCCGCGGCTACGCCCTGCCGCGCCTCAACCACCGGTACTGGAGGCAATGTCGCTTGTCGGCGACAGTACGACCTTGGTCGAGGCCGCGCCCGAAGAACGCAAGCTGCCCAGCAACAAGTTCTTCTTCCGCCTCATGCACTCGTCCAAGACGATGCAGATTTCGCCGACGCTCCGCGCGGTACCTCACTTCTTTGGCCTTGTGGAGCAATGTACTGATCGCCGTGCATCAACTAGACGCTGCACGGCATGGACTTGTACAACCGCAAGTGGGAAATCAACGAGATCCCAGCCGTCATGAACTGTCTCGTGCTCTTGGACCGCGTGCCGGAGGCGCTGGCGTTTGCGAAAAAGTGGATCAATTCGCTCACGATGCTCAACCATCTGATGGGTCAAGCCGCGCGCGTCAAGTGCCCGAAGCTCGCGCTCGGGCTCCTTCAGCTCGGCGTCGAGCGCAACTACCCGATCGACGCGCTGACGTACAACAAGTGCATCGTCGCATGTGCGCGCGGCCCGCCCTCATACCTCTCGACGATCGAGCACCTCGTGACCGACATGCAAGAGCACGGCCACCGCCCCAACAATCTTACCTTTGGCGCGCTCGTCGTTGGCGCCGCACGCCTTGACCACTGGTCGGCGGTACGCTGCAATGCTCAATGTGTCAATGTTTCAAGTTGCACATACGTAGGTGGTGCCGACCCTCGATATGATGGACGAGCTGCCGTACGACGAACGCGTCGCGGCGTACAGCACCGTGCTCGTGCGTCTCGGGCGCGAGGACCACCACGAGTTTTGCTACCGCCTGTTTAAACATACGATCACGAGCGGCCTGTCTGTGAGCGAAGATGCCGTTCGTGTCGTCGTTGCGAGTTGCGGCAAGATTGCGCGGCGCGCCGATGCGATCGAGGTGTTGGACGCGATCTCGCTCGACTCGATAGCGTCGCTCAAGACGTTCAACGCGCTCATCGCTGCGCTGGCCAACTTGGACCCGGCGAAAGCCTTTGACGTCTTTGGCGTGCTCCAGAGCCGCCCGAACCTCGAGCTCGATATTTACACGGTCAACTCGGTGCTCCTCGCGTGCGTCCGTGCGCGGTCGTTCGACGAAGGCGTCGAGCTCTTCGAGTCGCGGCCCGTCCCGTTCGATATGGTGACGATCTGCACCATGCTGCAGCTCTGCGGGCAGGCCAAGCAGCATGGGAAGGCGACCGAGATCTATGCGACCGCGCTGAGTGCGCTCCCGCCGTCGCGGCAGCTCTACGAAGAGTATTTCGAGGCGCTTGTCGAGTCGGAGGTCGGGTCGCTTGCGATCGAGGCGTTCTGGCGTGCGCGCGAGCGCGACACCAAGTTCCAGCCGACACTCAAGATGCTCAACTGCCTCCTTCGCGCCTGCCACGCGTCGCCAGACCACCTCGACGTCATGGGCCAGCGCATCTTGGATGTGTTTGAAGAAGCCAACTACAACGGCTCGAGCGTCAGCGGCAACCACCAGCTCTCGCTTCTGATTGCCGCCAACAAGCTCGACGCGGCCGCCGAGTGGCTACACACGATGCGCGCGCGCGGCCTCGTCACGTACTTTACGTACCAGCAGCTCATGGTTGCGTACTACGACCGCGGCGAGTACGACAAGTGCCTCGAGGTCTATGGCCAGTGCCGCGGCCAGCGCATCGAGATGCTCCAGCAAGTCAAGTGGAAGCCGTACGCATTCCCGCGCACGGGCCTCGTCCTCCTCGCGCAACGCGCCCATTACGCGCTCGGCGACTGGGACAGCGTCGTGGCCATGGCGCCGACCGTCAAGGGCCGCCAGGGCACGTTGCACCCGTGGCTCTCGGACCGCGGCTGCCAAGAGCTCCTCATGCGTGCGATCCTCGCCCACGAGCAGCGCGGCGACTGGGAGTCGTGCGTCGCGCTCTACTCCAAGATGGTGTCGGTCGGCATGAACGACACGGACGCCTACCAAGCAACGGTCCGCGCGGTCGCAAAAGCCGGCGAGTTTGAAGCCGCGCTCGACGTCAACGGCGGCGAGTGGTACCGGAACGAGCGGACGTCCAAAGGCTGGTTCACGGACGACGACGCCAAGTGAGATTAGACAAAATAGAGATACACGAATGAAAACCACCGTATAGACAATATTTGTAGCGTAGATTGTCGTTTGTGGTGGGTTTGGGGACTTTGTCCACAACGACATGGTAGCGTGTGATGGCGTCGACCGCTCGTGTCGGTCCTGGGCATGACTACTGTAGCAACCTCTTCCCGTCGCTTGCACCGCCACGGCCCCGCAAGCATCCAAAAAGGAGATTGGTCTCTGCTCGCCCAAAGCCAAAAACTTCAACTCGACACAACAGCAACCCTAGCCCTCATCGCCCGCATTCTATACCGGACGTGTCCCTCGGTTGCTCGTGCTTACGTTATATGCTATCGTTCCGCCTGTATATTTGAAGACTGCCCATGAAACGTGGTGGGCTATAACCGATACCGCTAGTGTGCAGGGCTCAACTACGACCCGATAGGCCTTCGATGGTTTTTGGATTGACGTGGTGCCCTGGACACGGAGGACGCTGCTATTGTTTAGCGTTATGACTGTACAATAGCCACGTGCGTTCAATTCAATGCTATGGAAGGGAAGCACGGACCGAATTCCATTGAACAACACGACGCGACGGCAAACGCTGGGATGGCAGCAACCACATCCGAGCACTGGATAGGTCGATCGATCCAATGGATAGATGGATAAACGAACCGATGCATGCGATGCTTCGTCACATGAATCAACACTGTACTTCTCGGTGTAGTACTCTGACGGATGCAGAAAGTCTATTGCGCTCGAGTTTATAGTTGTACAACAATCGTCATTTTCGACAGTTTTGTCATTTAAACAAACGTCACTTTTGTATAGTGGGTGGCGCGTGGGATGGATGCTTGACGACTCGCTAGTGGATACGGTGGACGCCGTTCTTTCTTCCCTTCCGCGCTTACACACGCGTTCCCTTAGCTACGAACTACGTCCTATCGCCCTATTTTGCGTGTCTTCTGCACGGTCTTTTTCTACGCGGTTGACGCCGGTCGGTCGGGCACTGACGACGAGCATTGCCGTTCAGCATCAGATGGACACGATTGGGTCTCGCAACCCCGCGTGTGACTTTTTGCGAGCACGTTTCCCTGCAAAACTAGAGTATTAGTACCTGCGATGCTATACAATTTGTATAAGCCATGGGCAGTTGTAATTTGTAGTCGGTAGGGTAGACAAGTCTGAATCTGCATTTTAGGGATGAGTTTCATCCACGCCAGGTACGTGCACCAGCCAAGATGCGCAACCAGAACCATGGCTAAAGACGCCAGCGTGTGCAAGGTCCAGTTCGAACACGCGTGTTGGTGGGCAAGAACGCGCCGAGCGATCGCACGCCAGAAGGACCAGACACCGGTGTGCATCTTCAAGGTGCAGTAACAGTCGCCCAAGTTCAACCACGGGTACTATTAGCTTCTTCATTCTGTGCATGCAATAATCACACATCACCACCTCGATCAGGCGCCGAATACTCGACCAAGACGCGCTAATTTGAGGATTTGGCGATCTTCGTCAACCGCAAAGGCGCAACGGCTTACTCACTCGGGGGACGCGTTGCGCATCGGCCATCATCGAACGCGTGGGCGTGGACTGTCCATGGACCCTCGCGTGCGTGTTGACGCGAATGGACACCTTGCTGGGATTGGCAGCGGCAACTTCAACTAGCCCACGTATTGGTTAAAAATCGATGCATTTCAAGCTGTTCGCGTCGACAATTGGTGGTTTTGAAAATATCCAAACGGATTTTGTCGAATCGATTGCATCCGCCAATCACAGCCCGCGCTGCAGATGAAAGATTGGGGCGTGGGTGTCGCTAGGCGATGCGACGGCCACCCATTCCGTAGAAGCCACGAGGAGGCTGGTCCGTCAGACACATCCACTGCGCGTCCGTCCACCTTTCGTGAGCGATCGCCACTGTCCCATGCCCACGGGGCGGGCCTTGATTGGCCGCGGCAAGACGCCGATGTAACGAGACCTACTTCAACGAGTGCTTTTCCAAACCCTTCTTCGATTTGTCATCTTCAACCAGGCACGTCGCGGTCTTTTCCTTGGCTTTCGGCGCCCCGCGGTTGCGAGCGCGCGAAGAACAAGGTGTTTTCAGCCATCTTGAAGAGTATCTCCGTTGCGGGCAGAGAGTCTCCCGCATGCGAATCTGGAAGCCGCATCTGAGTTACCCAATGGGTTGGCCCGTTTCAGCACGGCGTCGCCCGCCGTCTCCACCCTATCGACGACGCCCTCGCACTGCACCGACGTCGTCGCCGCTTCCAACCAGGTGTACGTACAAGCACCCATCTTGGCTCAATTTATCGTAGCTTTGGCACCTGCCGTACGCTAGATCGTCGTGGTTCTCAACGCCATTTCGCACTGGCGCCCCAAGCTGGCCCAAGATCGGCTGCGGCCCGTCGACAGAGACAGGTCGTGATTGGCTTGCGCTGTCACATGTGCCCCTCAAAGCGGGTGTACATGCCCATGCGTCAACGTTGAAGTTACGCGGTTCGGTTGAACTAGGTGGGTGCTCGTGTCTATTTCGACCAATCAAATGCGCGTTCCGGATGGCATCGACGAATCATCGCGCGCGTCGCTCGGATTTGAACCAATCGCTGTCCGTTTGAAGTCAGCTCCCTTCGACAACCAATTCTTCAAGTTCAACCTGCAAAGATCTTGTGCTTTGTATGCCTCAATTGCCATTTTCCATGCCAGTTGTCATGGCCTTGTTACCAGCACTGCACGCACTCCACTTGCCGCCGACGTCGACGTCGACGGCCTCGTCGCGCGCCCGCATGGACATCCGCGCGCTCATCTCGCCCGAGCCGCGCTACCTCGTCAAGAAGCCGCTGCCGAAAGACAAGGACACGCGCAGCAAGGCGCGCCCGGGCTTCCGGAAGGGCAAGTGGACCGACGAAGAGAGCGTGTACGCCGAGCGCATGACGCACTACTTCAAAGAGGGCTTGTTGCCGCTCGAGAAGGGCACAATGCTGCGCATGTACCTCGCCGACAAGCTCAACTGCGAGCCGATGCGCATCACAAAGAAGTTTACCGGCGACGAGTGCATTGGGAAGCAGATCTTTCGCCCGCTGCCGCCGACGCCGCTCGTGAACGCGCGCATGCAGTCGGTGCAGACCGAGCTCAAGGCGCTCGAGACGGCGTTCTTGCACCGCATTGAAGAGATGCCCATGTACTGCATGTCGACAAAGGACAAGACTGCGGCGTCCAACGAGCTCAAGCTCATCAAGCGCGGCAAGCTTCGCCCGCGCAAGGCGATGACAACGACCGCGGCGGCTGCGAAGGCCAAGAAGCCGCTGAGCCCACCGGAGGACGCGCAGGCCGCGTGCCTCCTCCTCGGCTTCTTCCACGGCGCCGGCTCGTCCGAGAACGAAGATGCGGCCTCGGTGGCGTCGCCGATCGCGGCCGGCAACCCGTTCCTGCCCGTGGCGCAAGACGGGCGCATCTCGCCGTCGGGGAAAGGCGCACGGTCCGAGGACGACGTGGCACCCCCCGTGCGCCCGCGCTCGACGCGCAAGTTTTCCATTTCCCACTGCGCCGACGAGTGCGACGACGACATTGTGCTCGAGATGAAGCGGCCGCGCATCGGGTCCATCAGCTCGCTCTGTTCCTAAGCGGACGTGCTTCTCTGTGTTGTCGAATTTTAGAGATAATTATAGTCAATTCAATTTAATAGTTTAGCCACTTTTCTTCCTCGTCGTGGAGTTGACATCTAGGAGCGGGATGGCGACGGTGGGCCGAACCAGAAGGCAAGCTCGTTCGGCGAGATGGCGGACGCAGGCGTCGCCGCGTCGAACGGCACTGGATCCACCATGGCCGGCCAAACTTCAACCAGAGTCTCACCCGCGGCCGAGCAACTGTCCAGTCGTGCGATGTCCCACGATGGCTCCGGTAACGACGGTCGTAGTCGGGGCGGCCCCTTCTTGCTCGGTCGTGCCGACGCTACTGAGGTCTCCTTGGTCGGGGTCATTAGCACAACACCCAATATCGGGATGTGGTAGCTCAATGCTGTCCATGGCGCTCGCGCCGTTGGCGCCGTCCTGTCGCCCACGAATGGCGTTGGCGCGGATCGTCACCCGTTCGATCGCCAGGACTTGAAGTTTGTATGGATACCAACTTGAAGCTGCGCTGCAGATGTGTCACCCGGCCATGGCGCGGCGACTTGGCGCGGCGATGGCTTGGGACTAGGCATGCGATCTCGGCGCGCGTTTATGCCCCGGCGTTTCAGATCTCTGTTCGAACTCGGGTTTGTGCTACGAGCAGCGGCGCAAGCTCTCGGTTGACAATTTGGGTGATTTTGATCACACGCCAGAGCGATGGGTTGTGCGGAAGGGGCAGGGTGGACGATGATGGCGCGGTCCAGTTCTGTGGGCTTCTATCGTCGCTGCTGGCGTCCGTGCTTGCTCCATGGGACGCGTCGTTCAAGGATGTTGTACGGCTCCGTGCACTGGATATGCGACGAAGGCCTGGCGTCGAGCGTTGGATGCTGCCGCCTCGTTGATATTGCGCGGCGAATGATGATGAACAGCCCCTTCTTTCAGTCCATGGTTCGTGCGCTTGCACCTCATGTGCATGCTCCGCGACGCGCCTGTTCTCACAGTCAACATCCACCAGCGTCGACCAGCGTCGTGCTGACGGAACATTTACCTCACACAAGCAAAGACGGGGAGCGGTTTTTGCTACCCTAAACCTCCTATCATGATCGGCCGTGAAGGACTTGCGCCGCCTGCATATCTAGAGCTGCCGGTACGTTGCAGCGGCACTGAACTGTACTGCGGCAGCGTGTATTACCATATTGTTGAACTGCGACCTGCGTCAAAGCCGAGAGCCTCTTGCAGATGACTTCATCGAGGCGGCAGGTTCAAAGTGGGAATCTTAGATTCGTGGTTCCATCTGCAGCATTTTTCGGACGCCAATCATACCGTACCGGTACGTGAGCTCCGCGAGTCTATCTCTTTCGCACCTCCCCTTTTCAACGTCTAAAACGTTAGTTACATGTATCGTGAAATGTTATCCGAAGCTGCTCGTCGCAGGGCTCGGCCCGTTCCAAATTACGGAAGTGTCGCCGTACTCGTGCGTCATCCGTCATATCCTCTCGGATCAAGAGCGTCATGCATGTACGAGTCGCCTCGGATACTTCATCTTGTCCACGCGCGACCAGAGTACGTAGTCACCAAGGTTGGCGACAAACTCTTCTTGGTGCGTCTTTGCCGCGATTTCCCGCGCTAGACATTGTTGACGCAGGTCATCGATCTTCGTGTGGACGTCAACCAAACTTGCGTGAGTGGCAGCCATCGAGCTGACGACGTCCGGCTTCGACCAGTCGGCATGACGGACGAGTTCACCATCAAAGTCGCGGACCACAATGTCCAAGTTGGT